AAACCTACCTGATGTTGTGCAGATAAGTACGGCAGACGGTTTGAAAAAATTGAAATCTGAATCCTGCAGTTGCAGTCGAGAGCGTAGCGACAGGGAGGCATCGCAGAAGGATCGTCTTCTATTGAGTTTTGTCCATGAGACTCGCTGATTCTGCGGATCCTCGAGCAACGTGACGACATCGCTCCGCCCCAGCAGATCCTTCAAATCGGCGCAAAATTCGTATTCGCAATCGGATCTACAGCAAATAATTATAATGTCATATACTCCGTCTACTCAATATATATTAGTAGAACTTACGCTTACCAATGAATATATATTTATTCAAGAGGCATACTCACAGGGGATATCTCTGATGATAAAGTATTGGCATGCCCAATGTCCTGTTGATGAGGTCCGCCGTCCTTCTGGCCAGGCTGCTAGTGAGACCCAGGAAACCCACCACAGTCTCTCGCATGGGTTTCACCCCCCTTCGCTCGACAGACCAACCTCCAAAGTCACCAAACGCAGTCTCCACATGCATAGGACCGAGGCCCAGTCGCCATTCTTTACCAGACAAGTCCAAAGTGAGACTACTCGGCGGCGCGGTTGTACTACCTATCTGCCCTTCGAGCGACATCGCACCAGAATCCGAACTGCCCTTGGCTCTATTCTGCTTGCGACCGCTCCTTAGTGAGGAATTGCGACCTGTCAGACAGGCACTGTTCAGACTAAGGAGACGTTGGTGCAGGCCGTCAACTTCACCTGAAAGGGGGTAACATACAGATGCAATACTCTGTATGAGTACAAGCTTGCGCACTGCCTGAGTGGCAGTTCCTGTCTGTTGCTGATCGGGAAATAAAAAGGATAACAAGATGCCACCTTTTGACAGACTGAGAAAAAAAATAGAATATACGAGACATGGGAAATGGAGACAAAACTGAAAAGATAAAAGTTGACGATGATGATGATGACGACAACGATGATGATGATGATGATGATGATGATGATGATGATGATGATGATGATGATGCAAAGAATGGGATCAGTATTGACCCGCAGAAATCGTTATTCAATGCAAGTTTGGCTAATCTGATTACCTATCTAAACCACTCGGGACATGTGGTCTTACGGTTGATTGTCTATTCTGCTCTAGGCAAAAGGGCATTACTGCCAGCCATACCCAACCACAGATATTGTTGATACCCGAGGCTCATCTCAGCAATCTGTTAGCTAGAAATCAGACGCTCTAACCATTGCGCCACGGGCTCGTTACCTCGCCGGTTCTGCTCGGCAATATACACAGTGCTAGATTGACGCTCACACCTATCGGTTACAGTACACACTCGTCCCTTTGTGCATTGAGACTCTCTCTCGACACCGCCAGCAATCGCCCATTAGCTATCGCGGGAGGTTAAGTGAGTTAAACCCTAGCAAAAGCGATCTTCAGACCCTGGTTCCTTAGGAGCGAAGAAGTCGGTGAAGGCCAAAATAGTAGGAATAGTTTATTCTGTATAAAGAGGCATAAAGAATGAGCAGGAAGAAGTTAGACGACCAGCCAGGAAGCCAGCCGGATCCCGGTTTTGCAGCAGGCATGCCAGCGGCCAGCGGTCATTGACTGGGTCTGCCTATGCGTGCAGGCGTGTGATTCGTTG